ATACGATGCTAGGGATTTGCTTCAAAATAATGCATAAGGTGGGGGAGGTGAACAGGTGTTTAAATGAAAATAATATTGACCATGATTTGATAATGATTGAGGCTGAGTGACTGGAACAAGGAGGTTCATTAAACTATACTTTTATAGGCTATGAATTTTCCATAATGAAAAATCGAAGGAAAAAAAAGAATTAAAGACTTATAAAAAGGCTGGGTGTGATGGCTCACGCCTGTAATCCTAGCACTCTGTGAAGCTGAGGTGGGTGGTTTAGTTTAAGTTCAGGAGTTTGAGACCAACTTGAGCAAGAGCAAGATTTCATCTCTAAAAATAGCCAGGCATTGTGACAGTCGCCTGCATCCCCAGTTATTCAGGAGGCTAAGGCAAGAGGATCACTTGAACCCAAGAGTTTGAGATTGCTGTGAGTTGTGATGCCACGGCACCCTACCAAGGGTGAAAAAGTGAGAATCTGTCTCAAAAAAAAAAAAAAAGAAAGAAAGAAAGAAAAAAGACTTATAAAAAGCTTATCATGTAATAGCAGGTCATTTATCAAAACCCATAGACCATAAACACTGAGAGTGAAGCCCAGGTGTGACCTGTGGACTCTGGGGGACGCTAAGTCAGGAAGGTTTAGGATTATGCCCCTGTACAGCTGTGCTGGTGATGTTGATGACCGAGGGGGTGTATGTGCAGACATGGTTTGAGGGAACTACTTTTAATTCAGTTTTGAACCTGAAACTGCTCTTCTCCAAAAGCCTATTTTAAAAAGTTTTTTTATAATTGTATAACTCAAATATCTGGTTCTAAACCTACTCTTGCATGCAACAAAATAAGGGTGGGGTGGGGTGACCAAAGTCTACCCTCATCTCTAACACGGTTAACGGCAGCACCTTGTGCAAGTCACAGAACTTTACCACCAAACGTCAAGCTTAGAACGTCTTGGTTTCCTTGTGTGAGAGACCAAGAGAGCAATACCTGCCCTCCGCTCTTTGCTGGGTTGAGGTGAAGATAAAATAAAACCACATGACTGTGTTAAAAACTGTACAGCAGTAAATGCCTGAGTGTCTTAACTCCAAGTCCACTGCTGTGAGATGGAGCCAGTGGCATCTGGCTGGAAGATATCAGAAGGGTGTGAAGGGCAGGCCCTCTGCTAGGGGGTTTCAGGGA